AAAAAAAAAAAAAAAAAAAAAAAAAAAAAAAAAAAAAAAAAGAAATGGTTTATCATTATACTGTGGCGTTCACGATACCTTGAAGAAAAGGCTCAGAGTAGGACAGGAATTCCTAATCAGTAGTGCTTCTAGAGACACCAAGAAGAAACCAAATCCATAAGTGAGATGTAGAAATTAATTTTCTTTAATGGAAAATATAAATTGTAGCATTATAGCTATATACCAATAACATCTGTCGCTTGAAAAGTACTCATCATTTTTTTTCCTCCTTGCTGGTAGTCACATACAACACATGGAACCCAGGAATGACACAAGAATTTCAGAATTCCTTCTTCTGGGACTTTCAGAGGAGCCAGAATTGCAGCCCCTCTTATTTGGGCTTTTCCTCTCTATGTATCTGATTGCTGTGTGTGGAAACCTGCTCATCATCCTGGCCATCATCTCAGACTCCCACCTGCACACGCCTATGTACTTCTTCCTCTCCAATCTGTCCTTTGTAGACATTGGTCTCACCTCCACCACCATCCCAAAGATGCTGGTGAACATCCAGACACAGAGCAAGGTCATCACCTATGCAGGCTGCATCACCCAGATGTTCTTTTTCATACTCTTTATAGTGTTGGATGACTTCCTCCTGACCATCATGGCCTATGACCAGAAAGTGGCCATCTGTCATCCCCTGCATTACACAGTCATCATGAATCCCCAGTTTTGCATATTGTTGGTTTTGATCTCCTGGATCATGACTTTCCTGAATTCCTTGTTACAAAACTCCATGACATTATGGCTTTCCTTCTGTTCACACGTGGAAATACCCCAGTTTTTCTGTGATCTGAGTCAAATTGTTCCACTTGCCTGTTCTGACACTTTTGTCAGTGATGTGGTCATCTATTTTGTAGTTCTGCTTTTGGCTATTGGTCCCCTTTCTGGTATTCTTTACTCTTATTCTAAAATTGTTTCTTCTCTATGTACAATTTCATCAGCTCAAGGGAAGTACAAAGCATTTTCCACCTGTGCCTCTCACCTGTCAGTTGTCTCCTTATTTTATTGTACATGCATGGGTGTGTATCTTAGTTCTGCTGCCACCCACAGCTCACACTCAAGTGCAACAGCCTCAGTGATGTACACTATGTTCATACCCATGCTGAACCCCTTCATCTACAGTCTGAGGAATAAAGACACAAAAATGGCTCTGAAAAGACTATTTGGAAAGAAACTATGAAGAGACCACTTTTCCTGGTACTAATGAATGATCCATAATTGTACAGCTCAAACTTCAGAATAAAGAGTCAGACATTGTGGACGAGTCAGACATTGTGGACGATGTCTGACTGTGAAAGTACTACTCAATCAGGTTGTGAAAGAACTACTTTTTCTTCTCCATTTATTTCCAGGAAATTTTCATTTCTTCTTTTTTCATTTCTCTATACAATTTAAGCAACTTGCTTTATTAAAAATCTTTTGTCTCTGATAGCCAACAAATTTTTCTTGTCATTTTTCTAAAGTTATCCTCAAACTTGCTCAGAACTATTTGTAAATATACATTTATCTATGGCAGAGGTCCCCAATCTCTGGGACATGGAGCAATACCAGTCTGTGGTCTATAAGGAACTGGGTCAACTAGCAGGAAGTGAACAGTGGACAGCTAAGTGGAGTTTCATCAGTATTTACAGCTGTTCCCCCTTTCTCACATTGCTGCCTGAGTTTTGTCTCCTGTCAGATTAGCTATAACATTAGACTCTCATAAGACCAGGAACCCTATGGTGAACTGCACATATGAAGGATCCAGGTTACATGGTCCTTATGAGAATCTAATGTTGATGATCTGAGGTGGAGCTGAGGTGGTGGTACTAGCACTGGGGAACAGCTACAAATGCTGCATTCTGGTGACTTGAATAATTATTCCATTATGCATTACAATGTAACAATAATAGAAAAAAGTACACAACAAATGTGATGCATTTGACTCATCCTGATGCCATCCACTCCACTGGGTCCATGGAAAAATTGTCTTACACAAAGGACAATTCTTGCTGCCAAAAAGGTTGGAGACCACTGGATCACTGTCTTATTGGACAACATGGATTTCTAAAGAATAATTTTTTTTAATTATATAGCATTAACATACCAAGTAGTGTTTCTTTTAGTTACATAAAGAAATGAGTTGTGCTACTCTTATGGAATACAGGTGGCAATTAAGACCATTTATGAAATGTGTATGAAAAGGAAATCCAAGACAATGATTTTTCATTTTTTGCCATTTTTCTCATCACATATTAGTATATTAACTGCTCTATTTTATTATGTATACTTTTGTACACCAGTGTGTTTTATCACTGGTCAGTGGCTTTTTAAAAATAAAAAAAAATTTCTTCTTCTTTTGAATGTTTTAATTTGCTATAGGGAACATGCACTCACCAGAGAAAGAGACAGAGAGAGAGGGAAATTGAGAAAGCAAGCCGCCATGCCCAGGACTCAAAATGTGATTGGCAATATGGGAGTCCACCACCTTATGTGGTCCAGACCAGCATGATACCTGCTGGTCCCTGGCTTTTATTCTCATCTTTAGGACTGTGTGCCTGTTTTAGTTCAAAATCCACAGTTACAAACATATTCACTATCGGAACCAACTCAGGTCTACTATACCATTTTCCTATGTGTGTATTACTGTACACATAAAATGTTTAAAATAATAATATTACTTAAACAGTGAATAGATTCGTGTTTGCTAAAGATCAGGGACTGGGCAGGGAAGAGGTAGAAGTTATATAAAGGACAGAGCTAGCAATCTTTTTGTGATAGATCTGTTCAGTATTTTTATTGTATCAGTATTCATATTCTGCTTCTGATATTGTGTTTTGGTATTGTAAGATGCTACCAGTGGGGAAACTGAGTAAAGGACTGGTCCTTATGAGAATCTAATGCTGATGATCTGAGGTGGAGTTGAGGTGGTGATACCAGCACTGGGGAGCAGGTACAAATGCTGCATTCTGGTGATTTGTATAGTTATTTCATTATACATTACAATGGATCTCTCTGTATGATTTATTATAAATGTATGTTACTCTATAATTGTCCCAAAATAAAAAGCTAATCAAAAATTTAAAATAAAATCAGTTTAAAAGTACATATAGGAGCTTATTCTTCAGAGATGAAATTTTGGCATCATTATCTTTTCTACTTGAATTCATATTTTCTGTCTACTGACGGGGCCATGCAGTCAACACAAGCTGGTAAGGATGCTGCCTCCCATTCTAAGGCAGGGCCTGGACTGGGAAGAAACTGAGGCAGGGCCCAGTTTACGAGCCCTCCCTTGTGTCCTTGTACTGGCCGGTATTCAATTTCTCTGCCGTGAGTTTTACTGTTATTACGGTACCCTGTAAGGGTAAAACATCACTCCCAACCATTGCAATAAAGCCAATTAGTGAACTTGTAGGAATGTGGTTCCCTAAAACTGACAAGAGGACCAGGAAGTTTAAGACTCCTCCACCTGTCTGTTTTTAAGCCAAAATTAACATATAGATTAAGTTAGTATAAACCAAAGTAGCATCAGTAGCATATGAAAACTAAGTTAGTTTAAGGCTAGTTTTACTTACATACCCCTTGTTAAAGCTACAGGCCAAAGTTAGCTCATGCTAGACAAAGTCAGCACATTCACCCAGAGATAAAACAAAAGTACTCAATAATTGACAGACTCAACAAATAAAATAAAAACCCATGGTTTCTTTTAAGAAAGAAAAAACCTGGCTGAGACAACAGAATAAACAAAGCTGAGGGCTCCACAAAAAGATTAACCATTTTAGCTGGAAATTCTTATCTAAAGCAGCAGTTAGCTTTAAACTGCAGAGTTTCTCATCTATGTGCTGTTGACCATGAAAAACTGCTAATAAAACATCCAGTGTTGTCTCCTGAGCTACAAGATCATCTTCCTTTCCCTTAAAAGATCATAGACTCACCCTCTATTGGTGTACTGTATAGATAGTCCATATATTAACTGTGTCTTTACTTAGCAAGACAAGATTTCTATCTAGGTCTTTGCAACCAGCAATGTTATTGCCCTGGCCTGGGACTGAAGTTATCAAACATCCTGCAAGGCCCCTCTTCAAAAGACTCTTCCCAGTAATCAAGATCTAAGAAGAAGATACAGCAGACAAATGGACTTCAGCTGGGGCTTTAACTCACAGTAGATCATGTGCAATCCAGTCACCTTAACCACCACACACGCCATCAACTGGCCCAATAACCGTACCTTTATATCTGTTGAAAAACCGCTCTGGGGTCAGCAGGTGTCATGGTGGTTAAGGTTGCTGAACTCTTACACGGTCAATGGTGGTTCAAGTCCCTGACCTGGTGGCTTGATTTCTTACTCTTTCTCTGTTTTTATTTTGTCAAGCTGAATAATAATAATCATTAATAAAATAAATAATTCTTTTTTTTAGAAAAAGGAAAGCAACTCTACTTCCTCCTTTTGTAAGGCTGATTAGTATTCAGACAACTGCAATATAAAATGGTAATTTGGGGGGGCCAGCAGGTGTCATAGTGGTTATAGTGTTGTACTCCAGCTTGGCCAACTGTGGTTCAAGTCCCAAACCCAGCAGTTTGAAAATCACACTGAACATGTATTCATGTATGCCCAAATTCTCAAGAGAAAATGGTGAACAACCCAACGGGGAGTGATTTTTTCATTTTATGTCTCTCTGTCTCTTTCTCAGGTGACCACATTTGCCCTATGGGGTGGGCAGTTAAAAAAGGTATGTATTTTTACTACTGATGTACAAGAATTTATCTAAGTTATTAAAAATTTGGAGTCTATGGATGAGTACACAATATGATCACCGACTAGATTTCCTTACACAAAATCTATTAACTTTTCACATTCATCCAATATGTATTGATACCCATCAACACATAAAATAATTCAATGTTATTCTGAAAATTTTAATATTTCAATTTATTATTAAAAGAATCAGAAGAATAGAATATACTCAAACCCCAGAACATCAAATAAAAACATTTGCATAATTTGTAATAAAGTAAAATGCTAAGACTTACAAACCTATTTAATTTTATCAGCAAGAAAAATAGTTGTAAGTAAAAGCTTTTTAATATTCTCATTATGACCTTTGAATAATTTTTTTATGTGAATGCTCGATGTGAAAGGAGAAACTATGAAATGTAAGTCTCATGAAATACTGTTTTAAGGTATGAATCACAAACAACCACTTCATTTGTATCCTTCAAAAAATACATAAATATGCACAAATATACTCATTCAAAAAATTGCTGAACTGATCCTAAAGGTACTGCACATCTCATCACAACTCTGGTTCTACGTTTACTACTTCATGAGATACAAATTTCTGAGCACATGCTCTAATTTGACTGAAATTGTTTAATTTGTCCCATTCCTTTTACAGCCTCATCCAACGGGATTTCTATTCACTCAGTTGTCCACAATAATGCCTGCATTGCTAAGTCTGACAGACACATGGCTTGTTAACAAATTAATGAAATTAATGATGAATAACTTTCTAGAAAAGTAACCAAACACATCAACCTCTTGGCTCTTGCTAGGCTGGTTTGGCTCTTAAGTGACCACAGGTAGATGTCATTGGCATCCATTCTCTCTGACCCATTTCTGTGGTACCTACCGGGCTCTCAGACTCACCTGTATGGGGTCTCAGAGAGGACAGTTTACTGTGGAAGGGTACATTTCTCCCTGAATGGTTGATGATGGAGACTGAAGTTCTACTCCTAGATAAGGTACAATGGAAGAACTCGATTCCAGAAAAATCAACCATGTCTTGTCCAGCCCAAGGCTGCACTCCTTGAGAAACAAGGACACATAAAATATTTACAACTCCCTATGTCTGCTCATTAGGTCCATTTCCTCCTTATCACTGTAACCTCTTAGTAGCTGATTTCCCTAGTGGACACTGGTATGGGAAAGAAGGAAAATTTTCCTGTTGATTTGCTGTGCTCAAGAGACCAAGTTGGAAGTGTGATGAATTTACCTTTATTACATGTTCTCTGTGAACTCTCCTATCTCCAAAGGTCATTAGCTCCTTTCACAAAGCATGAGTTAAAATGTAATTGTGATGGGTCAGCAGGTGTCATGACAGTTAAGGCACTGGACCCCATATGGCTGAGTGCACGGTTCTATTTGAAGACTTGGTGGCTTGATCAGTCACACTGGGTGCATATGCATGTGTGTCCAAAATC